CCCGACATTTCATGAAGGTTCGAGAAGGAAGTGGCGTGATACAAGCGCCACGTGACCTGCGTTGTCGTAACATTACATTACCTCGTTAAATGCGCAGCAGAATTATTACGGCCTCTTAAATGTTTATGCGCTGTAACTTTTCAAAATTAATTAAACAAAACTATTGAGGGTTATTGGCAAGTTCAAATGAAATCATTAAAAATTCAAAGTAAATTAAGTTTGTAAATATTTCGTATCCTGAAAAACTTGTGAAGACAAGTGCTAAAAGAAATTCAGCTTCAACCTACTACGTTCTATATTCTTGTTTACATAAAGAAAGTAAGTTATTAACGCCAAGTTATCAGTTTTATGAACTCTACACATCATTATTTTTTATTATTTATTCTAAATGGTCAAGATGAGCTCGTGACGGTACATTTACTAACCAGAGGGGCTTTCAGTAGAGCACTTACCTCCGCCACGTAGTGTTGAACATATTTGACTCTAAAAAAATACAAAAGTGTGTTTGTATGTTCGTCGTTATCAACGGACACGAACCATTTTTGTCAGAACAATGAGGAATAATATTCTACATACTTCCGCCAAGTTTCATCAAAATCAGATCATTTTTGACTGAGTTATAGAGCAAAAATAGTGTGAAAAATTGGTTTCCCCATATTAACAGATAGGTTTTTTTTTAATTTCGTGACCTTGCCCCTCCAAAAACTAATCACTTCTAAGTTGGGTCATAGTCTAAATGCTTACCAACTTTCGTCACAATCCATTCAGCTGTTTTCGAGAAATCCTGCTGACACATCATGCTGAAATCATGACGAGGCGACAAACTTCAGAAGTTCAAAAATGGTTAGTTATTACCAGATTTTTCACTGATAGTTATGCAGATATCAAAAACTATTCCACATACTTTAACACTGAACACCGGCACTCTGCTTAGGATTCCATTGCATGACTACAATGTTTGCAACTTTCTTGTTTTCATTTACCCATGTAAAAATTTGCCTTTTAGATTAAGGAATTAAATAATTTTGCATAAATTATAAAACTGCTAAAAAATCGTCAATTTCTTCCATTCTATAGAGTCGTTCTTCTTGCTTCAGACTGATTTGTTTCATTGAAGATATATTTTATTATAATTATAAAAAGTGATATATAATGAATTGCTAGCACACATTATGGGTAGAAACATTCGGTTAGACATACAGTTGCCACTTCTGACTTAAAAAAAGAAAGAAAAACTGAAATTAATATGGAGGAATCCTGTATCTACATACAGATACGGACAGGTTTTACTTTGCTGTATGTAACCAGGGATTACCAGGCATGGTTCCAGTTTTTAACTGCTACATTGTGATTTTTTTAAAGAATCTGATCATGATATTTGATTTAAGAAATATATTTTTTACGTTGTTAGTTTACTTTATTTATTTTTTTTTTCGTTTTACTTTAATTTAACTATAAA